TCTGATACAGAGGATTTCCAGATATCTGTCACTTCTTTTGTGTTACCTCACTTCTCAAAGTATATCAATTCAAAGCTTCCTGTAAATAGTTCTGCCTGCAACAGGAGATTGCAAATGCATCCATGATATGAGAGGAATGTGATAATTTACTTATTTGTTAATAGCATCTTGCCTCCTAGGATCTTAAACTGGTTTTAAAACGTCAATCAGACTCTTAATCTCCTTGTTCCTTGTTGCTTTTATTCAAATACAGAGAAAACTGAGGCTCCATGGGTGGAATTTGGCTCTGTTTGGAGATGCTGCAGTGACTGGTCAGGTGCCTGTGGTCCTAGTTCATGAGAAATTCAGAGCAACTGCAGATCTAACTAATTGTTGGAAGAGACCTGGTTTCAGAGCAACACTGGAAAATGATGTTTAAGTTTCCAAGTATGTGTGGTGCCTGAGGCCAAACATGTTGGCTGGGACGACATTCCCATCCTGTCATAGTGAATCCATATTGAGCCAAGACTGGAACCCACAGCAGTGCTGGAGCCCCCTCTGAAATCCATTCCACAAGGTGTTTTGTGGGCTTCATACAAAGTATTCCCTCCTTCAACCTAGCTTGCACCATCTTGAAATGGTCCCTATCCTTATGCAGGGCCAGGACTTCTCAGGTCAAGGGCAGACCAAGGAGCCTAGCCATGGTTGCTTCTTAATCTTTTAAATGCCAGATCCATGCCCGCTGCCTGGTGTGGTTTGACTCCAGACAGCAGCTGACAGATCACACCATCTCTGATCCACCCAGAGATTTGGGAGCTGCAGTGGGGCCCTGACTCCTACCCTGGTAAATCTGCTCCATTAATAGCTATCAAAGAGCCTGAAGTTTCCATCCAAACTTTATCTGGCTTTGCAGCAAGCTGGGGGATTAAAAACCATCACAGGGGAAGGGAGGTAGCAGCAGTGGCTCACCCGGAATAGCCTGACCTATGACGGCACGTACCAGCCTGGGGAGGGGAGTTGTCCTGTGTCACCAGTTATTCACAGTGAGCACAGACACGGCTGCAGTCAGCAGCACACCCAGTGCCATCTGCTCCATCCTAGGCTGGTCTGGGGGGTCCAGAGGGATTTGTTAATACAGCTTGTCTGTGTGGCTCTTTGATGGGGGAGCTGGGAGCAGGCTCAAGGGCCAGCCTTGTGGAGCCATCATTTTATACAGCTCAAATGACCTTAGGGTTTGACCTCTTGGCTGTTTGTATGGGGCAGATCTGGTTTTGAGGGAGAGCAGTATGGGAAGATAACCCTTGCCCTGCTGCAGCCTGGGGCTGTTGTCTCTCTGCTGTGTCATAGCAAGTAATAAAGGGACTGGAGTGGGCTGTATGGCTGGGACTGGCCTATAGGGCTGGTGGGTGCAGGGCACAAGCCTTCATCTCCTGGATGGCAGAAGAGTGTTGGTAGCAAGAGCAAATTTTTTGATGTAGCCAGGGATTCACTTCTTACAGCCTCTCTTGTAACTGGCTTTGTTTTCCTTGCCTTGATCCTCTGCTGGGATCCCCGAGTCCCCTGTTTCACCTGCCCCATGTTACAACTGTGGAAAAATGCAGAGTTTGTTATTACTTTCCCCCCACCTCATTCAGGGCTGCTCCTCAGCTGAGCATCCGTGTTGCAGCAGCAGTTTTTTACTTAGAGATAGGCTGTGAATTAGAGCCCTTTCCAGTGCCCAGTGTTTTGCAGGACTTGTGCAGAGCACCTCAGCATAGTGGAACAAGATCTTCCCAGCTGGCCAGATGACCCCAGACTCAGTGTGCTTGTCCCCAGAGCAGCAGTGGGACTGCAGGTTAACTTCTTGGACATGTGGGAAGCAGGCGTACAGCCACCACAATGAAAAGTCTGTGAGTGCTGCTCAGTATTTTACACCAGGAAGCACTGAGGCTGTTCTAAACCTTTGACCCTGGTGACATACTCCAGATTCCTCACAGTTAAATATCTCCTTCCCTCCCCTCCAGGCCTGAAAGCATTGAGTCTGCTGACTAGCCAGACAGACGCATTGCCCCATAAAAAGCTGCTTTGTATCCCCAACAATTCTATTGATCTGCACACTGGGAACATCATTCTACTTTGGAATTTGCAGCTTGCATACTCTGTTGTTATTGGTGATGGGTGCTACTGGCCTTGTGGCTCTTTGGACATCTAGAAAGTCACCTATAAAGTGGGAAATCCATAGTGCTCCATCGGTCTAGTAGCCTAGGGGAGTACAGCTGAATGCAGGGCCTTTGAACACCAGGCTTTCTGGAAGAGGTTCACCATACCACTTGATGAGAAAGATGAGGCCATACTGAATTCTTCTCTCCTGCTGGCGTGACAGAGATGTGTAGCCTCAGCAGCAGCATTGCTGTGGCATGCTCTCCCCTTCACTGGAGCAGATAAGCAAAGGAGGCACCATTGGCTCCTGTACAGGACTCTGCCTGTCCAACCAGTGTTGCTCCTTCTGCTCTCCAACATGCTCTTCAGTGACAAGAGTTTGAGGGGAAGAAGAGAATATTAGTGCTCTCTGCATTCTGCTGTGTAGACAGGTTTACCAGGCACATTAGGCGCTTGTAGCTGCAGTGTTTGCTGCTGTCACTTGAGCTGTAGAAAGTTGTGCTTCTCACTCTGAGGGTTTTTGGTTCAGCTCTTGTTCACAAAGAGGGCAGTGCTCATCTGTATGTGTCCTTTCCCCCACTTTTGCTGACACTTTAATACCTCAGTGATTCCTGAAGATGAAGACAGGCTGTTGAACAGAGGGAGAATGAAAAACAATGATTCCCTGTTTTTCAGGGGGAATTCAATCCCAGCCTAAATAAGAGGACTTACGAGCCGGGTGCTGAATGACTGCACTGATTTATCATGTCTAGTGCTAGAGTCAGTTATTGCAGTCAGGGGTGAGCTGGGAATATGCGTGTTTGTATGGGGCAGAGGGGAACTGAGAGTAGCCAAAGAGACATAATACAAATGTATCTCCCTTATGAGGAAAGGCTGAGGGAGCTGGGTCTCTTTAGCTTGGAGAAGAGGAGGCTGAGGGGAGACCTAATTAATGTTTACAAATACGTTAAGGGCAAGTGTCGTGAGGATGGAGCCAGGCTCTTCTCAGTGATGCCCAATGACAGAACAAGGAGCAATGGGTGTAAGCTGGAACACAGGAGGTTCCGCTTAAACTTGAGAAAAAACTTCTTTACTGTGAGGGTGACAGAGCACTGGAACAGGCTGCCCAGGGAGGTTGTGGAGTCTCCTTCTCTGGAGACATTCAAGACCTGCCTGGATGCCTTCCTGTGTAATTTCGTTTAGGTTCCTGCTCCAGCAGGGGGATTGGACTAGAAGATCTTTTGAGGTCCCTTCCAATCCCCAGCATTCTGTGATTCTGTGAAATGTCTTCTACCTTGACTGTGTACAAAGATGAGAGTGGGCCAGTAGGTGCATTGGCAGTCAGACTAGATGATTATTGTAGGTCCCTTCCAGCTGAAAATATTCTATTCTATTCTACATCCTATTGTATGGACCTTCTCAATGACATTTTTGGGAACCAAACATGAAAGTCTGATTCCTGCTATGCAGAGGAAAAATCCTCTTTACATCTTCTGAGATCATCTGTGAATAGCAAAGAGAGCTGGAGGAGGCTGGTTTGGGTGGCTGTCATGGCTACCTAGCAGTCCCTCAGAGCAGCTGGTCTGGAAGCACTTACTAGTGGCTTTCCTGTAGACCTGATGGCAGTAACATGGACCTGCTTTTCCATCTTGACACTCTTCTTTCCAAGAGGGGCTGAACATGATGGCTGAAACCTGTGGCTAAAGGACTGCTGTGCTCAGCAGAGCAAGAGAGACTTCAGCTTTCCAGTGCTTTCTGCCTCTTGGGCAGTCATGCTCTTGTCAGCAGGGCTCCCTTGCTTTTTGAGGCATCCCCTCAGCACCCTTTTTTAGCCTACCTCTGGCTCCCCAGAACTTCCTGTGGCTGAGGACTGGGTGGGCTTTCCTCTGTTTTTACCGGCCCTGCGAGACAAGGCTGTTTTTTGTTTTGTTTTGTTTTTTCTGGCACAGTCAGATTTTACTTTCTATTAACAAAGATGTTGTAATCGAGCATAACTGGCTATGGTTTACATCCTTGTCTCCCTGCTGCTGGAGTTGCCTGGGACATGACAAATAACTGCTGCCCTCCTCCACAGCTGCAGTTTGCCCAATCCTCTTGTGATGGATCTACCTTCCTGCCAGGAAAATGAAGTGCTTTGTTCAAAGCCTGGGAGCGATCCACTTAGCTGCATGGAGAGATCATTAAGAGAGAAGTGTGATAAGTGAAGTAGTCTGATAAGGATTTTTCTTTACAGGCTGTGGGGAGCTGTGCTCTGCAGGGAAGCAGTGAGAGGAACAGGGCTGGCTGCTGACACTCTCAGACGTGACACTTGGGCTGAGTGTCACGTAGAGTCATGGTGTAAGGTCCCCAGTTGCTCTCAACAGCCAGTTCCTGCCAACTATCTGCATAGTGAGAAAAGGTGGAAAGAAAGTGTGACTTTCACAGCTCCAGCCACCTTCTCTCCCTAAGGAAGTCCCTGCTTGGCTTTCTCTGAGGATAGTCCAGCCATTCTGGGAGCAAAAACCCCTCCCTGTCTGGAGCAGAGACTCGTGTTAAATCAGGGTAAGTGTAACCAACAGAAGGGATATTAGGGATGTGGTTTGGTTCTTGCTGGTCCAGGACATAAACAGCTGGGTTGCTATTGCCTTGTCTGCAAAAAGAATTAGACCAGTGAAGGACAAACCTCAATCATGCTCTTTGGTATAGTAAAGTGTAAGAGGTCTGAGTTCATCCTGATTCGTCTGTAAGTCCTTTTTCAAACTATGACTATGTGGAGAAACATTCCAAAAATTCTGAGTGCAAGAATAAAGGAGACTTTTAAACTTAATTTCTTTCAGCATCATGATCAAAAACTTGCCACCGTTTATTTGTCTCTGCTTTGCTCTGTCTGTGTTTGAAGTCTCCTTTCTTGTCTCTTTCTGCAGGTCCTTCAGAAGCTTGGGAAAGCAGATGAAACAAAAGATGAGCAGTTTGAACAGTGTGTGCAGAACTTCAACAAACAGCTGGTAAGATAATTGGCGATATGTAATTACACCCTGGGTTTCAGTATTAGCTTGCAGTCATCTGCTGCAATATGCAATTAAAGCATATTAAATTAAATGGTGCCATAGGCCTATTGAAGTGACCCACAACCCATAGCTGTTCACTTATGAGAAATTACACCATGTCTTCCAGTATCCCTATCATGAAGTCAGTGAGACTGTGTACTGAAAAATAGTACTTGTTCTAGACCCATGTTTAGGAAAATAAATAGCTCAACCGGAACACTTCCTTCAGCAGCTGCTTTGTAACATAGTTTTTCCTGCTGGGCTGGAAGCAGAGACATAAGAGCAACATTGTGTCTCTGAAAGATGGATAGGATGGGAAACAGATTAAAAATAAAAAAATATAATGGCACAAGGCAGATTCAGTTTCCTAAGTGCAGCAGAGGGCAGAAGAAAAGAAAGCAAATTGTGAAAAGGGAACATCCTTCCATAGCTAAGATCTAAATCTGACTTCCCCCCCATCCTTGCACAATCACTGTGCCAGGCCTGAGTCACTATTCTTTCGCATGTCTGCTTCATCCCTTTATTTTATCATACAAAAATATTTTAACAGTGTAGCAATTTTCCCCCACCCTCCTACTTAAACAGCAGCCCGTTTATATCTTGAACTGGGTGTGGTTTTTTTATCTGGAGCTTCAGCCACCCAGAGGAAGGGAAAACATCAGTTACCTCAGGGGATTTGCACTCTAGTGCTTCGTGTTAAGGAAAACCTTGTTCCTGTTTGATGGCAGGAAATACATGCTGCACCAAAGCTCAGGTGGTGCTGAAGAAATCTCTTAGCCCCTTTGTGCCCTGACATATTTAGGCACTTTTTCTGGAGCTGTTAGCAGCAGCTGCCTCATGTCTGTTAAGATTCAGCAAATGTGGTTATGTGTCACAAAACCAGCTGAGAAGGGATTTGCCACAGCTGAATATAATGTAAATCTTTCAGTCTTTGACTTACGTCTAACCAGAGCTGATTCCTGCAGATCTAACTGCAGATTCCTGGAGACTAATGCTCATCTCTTGGCAGCAATAGTAGCTTTTGCTCCAGAAGTTCATGCAACATCTCTATAGCATGTCCACTTCTCTTGTACACAGAGGAATACAGTTTGGCTTCTTTCTGACAACATGACATTACCAGGTGTGACTTTTTCATATCATTTTTTTAAGTATTGTCAATCGGGAAATAGCCTTTTTAAAGGAAAAATACTGAAAAATTCAAATCCAAACTTCTTGATCTGGCTGCTGGTATGGCTTTTCAATTTCCAAAGCTATGAGTTCTAGTGGTGCATCGAGAAACCTGTTAAAGAAGCGTTGCCTCTGTACCCCTTACAGCTGAACTTCTTTTCTTGTCTGGCAGGGGCAGGCCATGAGCTAAATTATCTAAATAACTTATCAAACAAGGTGGAGGCTGCTCTGCACTTGCTGCTTGGGGTCTGTTGGTTTTGCTTTGGCCCCCAGTTTCCTTATTACTTAAATAAATGCAAACAATGCCTGTTTTACAGAGCAAACCAGAAATGTGAGTTAGCTGGATTGTTGGGATATCCAGGGCTGAGGAAGTTGTTCTGATGCCAAGCAGATGGGGGAAAAAACTTCAACTATATCTGTATATATACACGCTTGTTTTTATATATATATGTGTGTGTATGTGTATGTGTAGTATAGCTATGCATGAGATGTTTATGGCCTTTCCTTATGAAGTATGCTTCAGTGGGAAATGCAAGTCTGGAGGAGAGCTGATCTTTTGCTGCAGGCTTGTGACAGAACAGCTCTCCTGTGGAACTGGCTGGGGTGTGACCAGGCAGTGGCCTTGTTTGCTGCTTGATTAGAGGTTCCTCTGACTCTAATGGCTGTGTTGGGCCATTTTGACACACGTTCCCATGTGTGGGCTGTCAATGAATAGACAGCAGGTCTGAAAATCACTTACTCATTTTCATCCAGGGCATCTTGTGGTACTCTCAAATGGTGGTTGAGTGGACATAAGGGAAAGCGTTGCACTTCCCAGCTCTCTGTCTGTTCAGGCTCACGTAAGAGCACCACTCTGAGATCTGTGAATGGTAGGAGTTTTTTAGCTCAGACAGATGGATTTGCAGTGTGACAAATGAGCTGGATGTAACCGTGCTTCTTCTTGCAGGGCTAGAGGCCTCGTCTGTGTCTCTTGAAGGCTTGACAAGCAGCTCAACTGGCCACAATATTACTTCCTCATGACAGATTATCTTTGGCAACCTCCTGAAATGTTTATTCGAAGGCTGCCCTCTGTTTCCCTTTCCCAGTGTCACTTGTGTTCAGGCACTGGCACAAGGGTCTGTCCTGGAAGTTGTCCTTGCAGACCTGGGAGCAAGAGGCCTGCTGCAAAGGTGCAAGACAGCCCCTGCACGAGATATGCCATGCTTTGGCTTCTCTTCTCTTGTGTTTGAAATACTTGCTGGAGAGAGAAAGAGTGGGAGGCTGGTGGCAGCCCTTACACCTGGCACCACGTTGTGTTTCTGCCTGGCAGAGTGGCTGAGTTTTGATGCCCTTCACAAGCTGTCACTTATGTGGAAGTTTTGGGTTGGTTTACAGTGTTTCACACCAAATGCATGAGAGACAAGCTGCTGCTGGCATGGACTGCATCCATCTCTGCCCATACCCCATGATGTTTGGCATAGCCTCAGACTGCAGGGCAGGCAACATGGACTTAATCTTTGCTTTTGCAGCATAGATTTGGCTGTAGACCATTACAGTAGATCAGAGAGACTTTCTGTCCAGGCAAGAACCCTTCATGCCCAGCAATCTCCTGAAAAAAAGGTATCTCAGTCTAACGTTAGGATGAAATAATTTCCTTTTAAGATTGGGGAAAAAACGGTTTTAGGAAACCTGTCTACTACCAAGAACCAGCTCTATGGAAAATCACATACTTAACTAGTACTGAGTGAAAGGTATTATAAATAATAATCCCTCAACAAAACAAGGACCCACAAAAAGAAACCAAACCACTCTTGTGTTTTAATTTAACAGAGCTGTAATATAATAGGTGGTTCATTAAGTCTTTGACGAGACAGCTCTTCTAGCCTCCCAAGCATAGCACTTCTATTTTTAAATATGCATCTTCCTGTACATACTGTCCTTCCTATTATACCTGCTTGTGTTATAGGCTCACAGGGTTCAATTGAAGTATGATTGCAAGTATGGCCAAATCTACTCAAGCAAGACAACACTTCTGTTTGAGGAGAACAACTTGTTGTGGTCACTTCTACGTCAAGATACAGTGTCATTGTCCCTGTGCAAAGGTTTTAAGTCAGTTTGTTAGTGCGGAGCTGAAAAGTTAATATGGGGTTCAGGATCAGCATTGATCTTCAATTTTTGTCCTAGTTTTACTTTCCTTTTGTGGAGTTTTGTTACCCTGATATATATATATATATATATATACATACACACACACACACACACACACACACACACACACACACAATTTCTTCTTTTTTTACATTAGATTTTTTTAACATCTTCAGATTCAACCATATGTCTATAACTTCCCTCTACACACCCTTAAAACAGCTCTTTGATAACTGGGAAGTGGATTAATGTTACAGATTCCAGTTTAACTTTTTTCCCTGCTTTTTTTTTTTTTTTAACCTCTGAGTTTAGGAAGCATCTTTTAATTGTGCAATTAAGGGTGTTGAAAACTTCTGTTCTGTACAGTATTTGACAGTGTCTAACTGCATTGTGAGAGGTGTTTATGCAGAATCAGAATCGTGGCTGTACTTGACACATCATTATAACCTGCTTGAGAAAAGCAGGTCCTGATTGCACAGAGAGAAAGCAGCTGCCACAGTTTCTTGGGAAAGCATAAATGCTTAAAATAATGAAAAGAAACCCTTGTAGTGAGTGAGGGAGCTGCTCTACTGGTGGACAAGAAATAAAGCAATGGAAATGCCAAAGAAGGACTTGAATGGGAAATTCATGTGAAACTCTGAACATGGGCCTCTCTGAAAATCTTTGTTTGCAGATCTTACAGGCTGTAAAGTCTATTCACTCTCCCTGGCAGGTTTGGTACTGTTAGGAGGCTTAGGTAACCTCATAGTCATGGAGATCAGCTGTAACTCTGACTTTAAACATCAGCAAGGGGTGACTAATAAAGACCACTCCAGTTGCAAGATGTAGCACTGCACGTTGTCTGACTGTATGGGACAAGTGGTGGTGAGGTTGCCTGGAGAACACAGAAGGCTACCTGTGCATTGCTGCAATTGCACACTCCAGTTTTTTCAGGTGGTACATCTAAAAAATCTTGATTTGATGTATCAGGGTACCTCTCAGAGGATCCTTTTGTCCTTGTGACTTTGAGACTGTGTATTGAGACTTGAAGAGTTCACAAGTCTGGGTTCTATCATATACTACTTTAGCAGGACTCAGGCAAATATGGGCACAATTTTAGAGGTGGTTTCTGATTTTAGGTGCTATAATTTTGAGAGTTACAGTTCTAGACATTGCAGTGCCTAATGTGTGGTGGGCAAGTTCTGCAAAGGACCTTCCCTGCTGATTAGTTTCTGATAACCTCAAAGCTGTATGTTCAAATTTAGTAATTTTTAAAAATTGTATAGTTGCAGGACAATAATGTATCCATCAGAGAATCAGAGATTTTGCGTGATAATTTTTTCTGTGCCATTTCCTCTTGTGTTCTGACATCTGATGGTACCAGTTCTGGTCTGTGATTTTTAGCATGAAGTGATTCTAGGCAGAGAGCACTGCTTTCCTCTAAGCCTTTTGAGATTCCTGCATTGGGCACAAGCAAACACATATCACAGCTTGATTGAACTGCTGCTTGTCAGCTCGGCCTCTGTGGTCCTCTGTGTGTGTGTTCGTTGATTACTCTGGCATGTCTTCCCTGGTGGTTTCTGATTGCATTTCTAGGAAGGTCTCATCTGCCCAAGTTTCCACATTTACCTTAAGCCAACAAAAGGCTCTACGTTTGGTTGCTCTGTGTTTTAAGAACTCCTAAGACTTTTGCAGCAGATGTGGTCATTATTCCTTTCCTCTTGTACTCTATTTGGGTCAGTTCCCAATGCTTCTCTAGACTAGGAGTCTGACTTTCTTTAATAAAAGTGGCCAGCTCTTTCCCCTTCCCTCATTTCCTTTGTTGATGGCAGCAGGGAGAGAACAAATGTGAACTCATCCAGAACTTTCGAGGGAAGGAAAACAACTTGGGCCATAGTGTTGGAAGCAGATGGATTTCTCCACAGAGCTATGCTAGCACTGACACTTCAACAGCTGGGCAGATTTAGCCTCTACTTAGAGAGCACAGCTGCACTGAGAGCACAAGAGATCACAACATGAGCTCAGTTGAGACAAGAGCTGCCTGAGTGTGGGGAGGGCTGATGGGAAACATCTGCTTTTGAAGCTAGTAGCTCTAAGGCAGCTGTCAGAGATGTCCTGTGAGCTCCTTGTCTCTGGAGTTGTCTTTAGCTATGAAAATTCATTATGCTGGAGGCCCCCCTAATGGGACACAAACTGGAAAAGAAAAGGAGGAATGGCAGCAGGCTGTGAGGAAGGTGTGGGGTGTAGTTGTCGCTTTCCTGCACTCTTGTTTTTACAGCTACTTTGGGAGTTAGTGGGGATCCAATGAGGTCCCAGAAGGTAAAGGAAACCCTTTTATAGCAGAGATCTTTGCCTCTCAAACTTTTCCTGTGCTTCTTGCGTACTCCAGAGGTTGTCTGCAGAGGTATCCTCAATGTTTGCTCCTTCCCTTGCTTTGACATGGTCTGTGGTGGTGTTGGTCAAATTCTCAAGCCTTGCTCTTCTTTTTGTTTCTCTTTGTATAGTCACTGTCTGGATTTGGGAGTATTTCCCTGTCTGCTTTGCATCACTGTCAATGACACGTGGCAAGGTAGAGGGGCCTGAGTATGCTTATCCCAGCATAGGAGAGCAGTCATGGGGAGTACATGTACGTGTCCATGTCTGAACCATCTTTGCTGTAAAAATCTTCATGACCCTTTCTAATCTGGGTTCTTGTACTGCACTCAGCTGTGTCATCTGAAGGCTCAAACTGGCAAAACTCAGCCCAGCTTCTGGTTTTAATCCTTTGTTTCCTAGTGAGTGAGATCTGCTGCTGGCAGGCCACCTCCACAGTGAAGCTGAAGAAAAATATTAACTCCATATTTGCAAGCCCTGATGCACATGTCAATTTAGACAGGATGTTTGGGTAGGTCAGAGGTTCTTTGTACCCACTTTGCACCGTGGTTTTGGTTTGCAGTGTGGCAGGAATAAGTGGTGAGCTAAACTGCTCCTAAACTAGTACAAAATAAATCAAGTGCGTCTGTCTTCTGTGTCCTACAGACTCCCTTCGGTTGCATTTGTTGTGTAGACCTGCTGGCCCTTAGCTTATAAACTAATTGTTGCCCTTAGAACCCTCTCTGTTTGTTTGTACAAAATCAAAACACTAAAGCTGGCTCTGCCAGGAAGAGCAAATCACAGCTTTGCCCACATTGATTTACTAGGTACCTCGGTGGTATTGCTGGCCAAACATGTCTGCAGGTCACTGGCTGTGGGCTTACCAAGTCACAGGGCTGTGTGGTCTCCCTGTTAACATTTATGTTTCATGTGGCCATAGGGCTGGTGTGTAGCCCATCTGCAAGACCATTTTTCTTTATTTAGAAATGCTTGACTCCTCCTTCTTACACTCTCTTTCTATGAGAAAATAACTGATGCTCTGCTTATGTTCACAGTCTGAAGGCACGAGGCTGCAGAAGGACCTCCGAACTTACTTGGCTTCCGTAAAAGGTAAGGTCTGCATAAGCAGAGGATTGTTTCCCCTCTAGTGCTTTTACCTACGTGGTGAGATTTCTGCAGTCATCCCCTTCCTGGTGTTTCCGCAGATGTGAATTGTAGGAAAAGTCCGCCTTGTCTGGGTGAGTGATCTTTCAGAATCCTTCAGGCCCAGCTGGAATGGAATGGAGTTGTACTTTGATGCCAAATAGGTGGTGCTGTCTTAGCAGATAGACTCTTGCATCTTCTGCTGGGGGAAGACAAATACAAAGGGTTTGATGTGACTGTATCCTCAGTTCCTTTCTCTCTCTGGTTGCCTTCTGCCTGTGTGTTATCAATGGTGAGACATTCTGTAAGGAAGAGCTTAGCATTTGCTATAACTCTCCTGTGTCCCTGTTCCTCAGGAGGAGGGTTAAACTGTGAAGAACACACTATTTCCTCATTTCTGAAGCAGTTCCCTCTTCTTTCCTAGCCATGCACGAGGCCTCGAAGAAGCTGACAGAGTGTTTGCAGGAAGTTTATGAGCCGGATTGGCCTGGGAGGGATGACACAAATAAAATAGCAGAGGTAAGACTTTGTCCAGGATGTGGGCCCACCAAGCTTGTTCTGTCAGCAAAGATGAGCTTTGGAAGCTGTGTCTGTGCACCACGTTTCTTCAGGCATGTGACTTTTCAGAAGAATTGGAGAAACAAACTCAGCAGTGGGAAGAAGGGAAAGCTTGAAGGGATGTGGGCTGTTTTTTTTTTTTTTTTTTTCTGTGTAGGATACTGTCCCTAGATGCCTGAATGCTGCACAGAGCTGGATGCTTATGCCCAGAGCAATCTGTTCCCCCAGCTGTGGCTCAACAGGGACAGAGGGTGCCAAAAAAGTCAGTAGGGTCAACTGGATGTATTGCTTATGCTCTATGAAAAAGAAAGGGGAGGCTGAATCTATGGCCAAAGCATGGTCTGATCAGCCATTGTGTAGTTGCAACAACCTTTGATTCATAGCAGTACCACCAGCTGCCATATTTTAGTTGCCACTTTGTTTGGCTGAGCCATGTGTCACCCCAACCTGCTATTCTTCTCATCCCTTGGTGAGGTGTTGCCTGTCCAACTTGACCAAGTGTTTTCTGTAGAGCTTAGGACACAGCCTGTCATTTGACAGCTTAGAACCCCCCCTTGCCATGTGTCTGTGTTGGGTCTGGCTGGAGGTAGGCACCCCCTGCTCTCTTGCTCAGCTGTTCTGCTGAGCAGCAGCTGTGGCAGTTCAATTCTGTGGATCCATCTGCCACGAGGCTGCAGGCCTGGGCTTATCTGCAGCTGTCTATGGCATTGGAGCAGTGGGGAAGGAATAGAAAGGAGAGCAGGAGAGGGATTCTTCCCTTCTTCTGCTTTTCCC